TATGTACATTACTGTGCTTGACACATAAGGTGTTACAAAGCATGTTAATCCTTTAAAAAACTTTTAGGGTGTGTCTTTTTAACAGCTTTTGTTTAAAATTTATCAGTATTTTTAAATATATATATATAAACTTTACAAATGAGAAGAGGCCATTTGACTTCCAGTCTGTTTGGTAGTGAGTAGCTCAATTACAAGTTGAGGAGGAATAAAAACCAGGAATACTGTATGGGTTTTGGCCAGTAGCAATTAAATAAACTGAAGCAAATTTTATAGGTCGCTGCTGTGCTGTTTTCATCAGAAAAACAACTCCTGCAAACCTTTAACCACAAAAAGTTTCCCATTGTCATTATCTTACTGGCACTTGGTAAAATGTGGGCCCCTTCAAATTTCCGCCTTTCAGAAAACTGCCAAACAAACAACGGCAATATTTAATCGGAGAAGAATTAGTTCACACAAGGGAACAGCACTTTAGGGATGTATGGAAACACACAACAGATTAAACTTGATACACATGTCAGGTGATCTTTGATCACAGTTTTCCATCTCAAAGAAGAAATCCAACTGTGGGGTGTGTGCCCTTGTAAACAGTCTAAATACATTTTACTGAAAAGCAATTATTTTTCCTTTATTCCAGAAGTAAGGCTGAAGTGTATCGAGGACAAAAGCCGTCATCTTTGTTAAAAAAGCAAGGGGCTTTCTATCAAAATAAGGCTTCTGGAATTTCTTTGAGGAAGGTTTAATGTCAGTACAGAAGCCACAGGGGAACAGAACTTCAGCACCTGATTCTCTGGAAAAAAAATCCCCCTTATTCTAGAGTTTATACAAGCCCATTAGCCCACTGAGCCAGTTTGATAGCTCCTAGTTAATTGGTCCAAGGATCTCATCCAACTAGTTACTAGTACTAATAATAATTGTAACGAGTACGCCCCTGCGTATAACAGGGATCTCCGCCGGCCGGGCTGGGGGAGGTCTCCTTTAGCTCAGCCGGCGAGACCCCCGTTGCGTTACGCCGGAGGCCCGGGACACTGAGTCGCAGCTCTGTCCTTCTTCTCCTGGTTTTCTGTGTTGCTCTGAGCTGCAAGATGGAACAAAACCCAAAACATCAAAAAAACAAAAAGAGTCAGACGGAAAGTAAAATAGAGGACGTGAGAAGCTTTGCTGTCTTTCTCAACTGCGGAACAGAAAGGAGAAGACTCTCTCTTTTTCCTGCTGGAGCTTGCTCAGAAGAGGTAATGAAACAAAGGAAGGGAGATAGCTCAGGGGGTTCCTCGGCCTTTTTTAAAAACAAGCTCCAGAGCAAAGTGGAAGAGGAGCTCTTCGGAGTAATCGAAGGAGGGCAGCATCAGAGGTCATTATCACAATGTGTTAACTTGTGGGTTTTTGTAGCTGTTTGCCATTTTAATAACGCATGTAAGGCATTCACATGTACAGAACTCTCTCCTGAAAACCTGTACACGTGACATGTAAGCCAGGGTTTGTTTTCTGTGAGATGGCTGCAACTTTGTCTAAAAGCTACATTATCATCCTGCATCCTGCGAGCAAAGTTGTAGAGACCTTGGTAAAATCTTTTGTGCAACACCTTCACCACTTAACCTTCCAACAGCATTTTGGAATCTTTGGCACAGCATTTTGTGTTGGCTCTGTTTGCACTTCAATTTCCATTGCTCTTGGATCACTGAGGAACCCCACGATTGCCATGGGGTGAAAATGAATATTTTTCGGGGGGCAGCCCTGAAGTGTGAAATGATTGTGTCTCTCCAGTGTACCTCCTCACCATTCAGCGAGTGAGAACATACTACAGAGAGGAAACTTCACGAGAGTGAAGACCTTTTGATGTGGCAGTGCCACCAATAAGAAAGACGAGTTCTTTGACAGAATGAGTTTGATGATTTTCCTGCCACAGTTCGAGAAAAAGACAAAAGCTTCATTGTAGCGATTTAAAAAAACAAAACAAAACCACACGTTATGCTGAAGAAAAAAAACCTGAGAGCACGGCACATTTGAAGTGTTGACAACAGAATCTCTAGACTAAATGTGATTTCTCATCTACTTCCTGTGCACAACTCCAACACATCGCTCTGCAGTGGCTGGGTTGACACCTTTGATCACAGTAATGTGTAATACAGAATGCCAAAAAATGTGCCCCTAAATTTCAGTTACATGTGATTACACAATGCTTAATGCAAATGCAAAACCTCTTTCAGCGCTTTCTATAGTAAGACACTGTTAAACCCAGATGTAAGCCTTAGTTGCACTCAATGGTGAAATGTGGATGTAGACTTTTATGAGGCACTCTAGTGACATCAATCGGTATGTGTTTTTTTTTTCTGGAGATATGGAAAGAACCAATCTCCTTTTGAGTAGCCCAGGTTTACTAGTATAATTGTGGGGGAAAAACACAAATGTATAATTATCTGGGAGGTACTAGATAAGATGCTGTAAGTCATTTTCTGTATCCTATTTTGGGATGACTTGTACTTTCTGAAGTGTTTGGGTTTGGGTGTCTACCCTGTGATGGACTGGTGTCCTGCCCAGGTTGTACCCTGCCTTGTGCCCGTTGCTTGCTAGGATAGGCTCCAGGTCCCCTGTGATCCTGATTTGGAAGAATCGATTAGAAAATGGATTGATGGATAGTACTTTCCTTTGTTAATTTGGCTCTTATGCAGCTCCTCAAGGTCTAATCATAAATCTTAGCTGTTTTAAAACTTTTGATGTTCAGTTTAGTCCTGGTGTTCTACAGGGTTGTGTGCTGGGACCTTCAGTAATTAGCACGCATGGTGTCTCTTGGTCAGATTATTTTCACGGACACACTATATGATTTGAACAAAACGTTGCCTGATGCAAATTCTACTCTTTCCACTGTGTTTTCTAGCACTTTTCCCTGTGCTGCCTACGCGATGCCAACACGTCCTCTTCATATGGACTCCTCTCAAACTCCGCGTCTCTCTTCCTGTATCGCTTTCTGTATGCAAAACCCCGAACTTGTCGACATCACACCTCGCCGGCCTGCTGCTAACCAGGCGGAATCCTTTTGGATTTTGCCTGCTGCTTCTGCCCTGCTTGACTGCGCAGGTGTGCGGGTCTGGGACTCTGTGATTGAGATGGCTCCTGAAGAAGGGGCTGGCTGAGCCAAATGCACTGTACAGTGTGCAGTCTGGAGCTGATAATAAGGCACTTTAGCATCTTAGCAGTGCGAGAGTTTTCTTCCCTTTGTTTTGGCTTTGCATCTTCGTTGAGCTCTCCAGGATGGGATCGTGACCCAAGGCCGGTAGCTGGGAGTAACCAGTAGATCCACCATCAGATTCACTCAACTGTTAGAGATGGGGTTGTTTTTCCTTAAGAGTCTTCACTTAAGGTGTTTTTCTCCACATCTCCGGGAAATACCTGATATGGGTCAGGCTGACAAGAAAGATAGAAAAGAATAAACAATACAAAGGTTTCCACTGTAGGTGTATCCTGTTATTGTCATCCTGTTTTTAGACTTCTGCAGCCCGAACTGGCTTGATACTGAGATGGCGATATAAGAAACTAATGTCTTTCATAATTATAATATTAATTTATATATCTTATATATCAAAGTCACAGTCTTTGCTTCTGTGGCTCTTAACTGTCAAAAAAAGAAAAACCTCTTCGAGATCAGCTATCTCTAACTGTCTTCTTGGCAGCAGTGAGTTTCCATGATGACGCACTGACATTATGTCTCACTCGTTCGTCATCAATCCTGACATTTTGAGTCAGTTGCTATCTGCCAGTGGTTTCAACTTAACAAGAAAGTTAAGTTTTTAAAACTGATTTAGGTGAATTTAAAATGTAATATGAATTAAATGTCATTTAAATAATAAAAAAATGATTTGAAGAATTTACGACTATAGGAAGGTCAGTGGCTACAAAATAAACTCACTGTTGGAATGCACCAATTTCTACAATTTTGGACTGCACTGTTCTTTACTGGTTAATAGAATACTATTCAAGGACTGGAGTGAATTACCGTATAGCAGCCAGCCCATTTCAAACAATACCATGAAATAAGTCAAAGGAAACCAAAAACATTTTTAAAAAATCTTAAGTAAAACTAACCCTTGAAGCTCTGATTGTTTAAAAGTTTGCTTTTTTCATGTAAGATTGCTGGTTCTCCATAGTTAAGAAAGAGTGCAAATTGAGCACAGTTTCAACTGCTTTGCACCCTGTGTCTCAGTCTAAGGCACTGTCCCAAATCATGTGAAAGTACTGCAGTGTGGTTCCTTAGATCAAAAGTCCTCTGAACAAATGGAATAGCACACAAAACACAGGGAATTCAGTTCCAACCACAGACCATAAAGCATGGCAGCATTTGTAAAAAAGTTCACATTAACATAGTTCTCACTTTAGAAAATTTGTGTTCTAGGTCATCACTGACTGTTTTATGGCAATCAGATCTCATAAATAGCCCTGATTGAAATTGTAAGACTCTCAGATGGTTTCTTAGTCTTCTATTGTGTCCAAACCTTTACATTAAAATAGACAAAAAACTTTTATGCTCCTCTTTACCTGATTTTCTAATTGTGATTCAGTTTTGTTCCTCATTACAACCCTTTTTGTTACCAAGGAAGGGATGGAAAACCTGTACTCCTTTTCTACCAGGCTTGTCCTTCGGAGAGCTCTGGCACCTACAGGAGACTTGGCAGCCACCCCCGCTCACAGATTCACGGGGGTCAAAGGGGTCATAGGTTCGTGGTGGTGCTAGGACACCACGCCCAGCCGAAATCCCACGCAGCGCAGGCAGATCCTAGCCAATCGTGCACAGCCTTATGGGAAACACTTCTACTTTTTGAAGTCATGTTTTTTTCTGTGATGTAACGTGAGACGGAGAACCCGATGAGAGTGTTCCCTTATATAAAGATCAAGAGACGCCAGCTCGGTAGAAGTCAACAGTCCATCCGCCCAGTCTAGTGTTGAATTTCTTAGAAAGCGCTCAAACCTACGTGAGGTGATTCGCGTTTTTTTCCCTCCCTTTGCTGCAGCTTCATTGGTTGTGAAGGGACGCCAGGATGAGGCGCAGGGTGTTTCTGAGCCTCTGCCTGCTGCAAGGTAAGAACTCTCTGAGAAGTCTCTGCGCTCTTTTCTGCTCTGCCTGTGGTGCCTGGAGCAGCATGCTGCCAGACAGCAAGACCCAAAAGGTACCCAGAAAAAGGAAGAACGCATGTCTGGCCCTGGCCAGGTGAGGTTGAGCATCTTGTGATGGGACAGAGGCCGAGGAAAATCCTTAGTCTGTCAACTGCCTGGGAGAACTAGGACCGGATCCGATCAGGTAGTTTGACTTCTGTATTAATGGAGAAGAATACATGTCCTGTAACAATTTCAAACAGGTTGTTTTGCTAATAATCTGGACTTTGAGAAGGTGGGTAGTGTCAAAAAGTGTTAATCCAATCACTGGTTTCAAGTGAGACTTGAAATGTATTTGCTATGTTTTGTGCTTCCTAAAAACACAAAGCAAATGTCTTACCTTAATCAGCAATATCTGACCTTTTTCACAGCGTGTCATGAATTGTGAGGTTTTTCAGTTTTTCAGTGGTGTAATCTAAATCCTGGATGTTCTGCTTTTAACTTCCAGTTAGGAAACACCTGCAAAAAGGTCAATATATCCAAATGAAAGAATGCTCCTCAATCTTCCGAATCCCTGGAAAAGGTTTCTCATTTTCTGAAAGATGACAAACTGAAAATTGTTGCTGAACTCTCTAGAACTGCAAATACAGGAGAGGGACACGGTTGTAGAGGTATCATTCAGTGGACAAGATGTTAAAATTAGGGTCCTGACATTAAAGATTCCATAACACTATTTTCAAAAGTAAGAATCTTAACTCCAGTGTCCTGTTTGAAATCTTTTGGGCTCACACAAACCAAATTAAATTTGCTCTGTATTTCCCTATTTCTGTGGCTGATCTGCTCTGCAGTGGGACTGCTAATGTAGAACAACCCAAAGTTGCAAGTCAGTAGTGAATTGCAAGATGAGCTCATGATCCTGATCTTTTGGCATGGTTCAGGTAAAACGAAACTGAATCTTCTTTTGTTTTCACTTCCAGGAGCTCTGTGTACAATCAACGTTACTCAATATCCACGTTTTGTGATGGCTGAAGTTGGCAAAAATGTCACCATGAACTGCAAATTTTCCTACACCAACGAAACTGTATCCCGGCCAATCCTATACTGGTACATCAATGAGGATGAGTACATATTTCCCCATACAGCAGAGCAGTACAAGAACCGGGTAGTGCAGGCAGGCGATGGAACACCCCACAATAAATCTGTGCAGCTTCAGCAGGTCCAGCTGGAGGATACCAACACCTACTACTGCATGATGTCCTACATCATGAACAACACTTCGCCTGTGAGGACTAGGAGCCGTCTTGGAGTACAACTGTTTGTTCATGGTAATTCAACAAGGACTCGAAAACTCAAACTCAAAAATGTTAGGTTACGCCTATCACGCTGGCTCTCAGAAATAGAAGAGTCGCTACCGACCAATGAGTTATCCCTGATCTCAGTGTAGAGCATTAGACATCTCTCTGAGACCAGTCAGAAGTTTACAGCCCTGTCTCCGCCCTCTGTCCTGTGGAGGACAAAGGGCTGGCATGTCTTGTATACTTTCTCTTTCATTGACAAAACCCTACGTAGAAGCTTCCAAGCAGCCCAAATAGCATTATGGCTACTCTTCTCTTTCAGGAAGCTTGCAGGAATAACCTCATGCTCCCTTTCTTTTAGAAAAGTAGCCACCCACGTATAGGATGGTCTGCGATTTGTGTAGCAGTATACCAGTGTCAAAGGACAAGCCACTTCCTGGTAATAAAGTATGCGGAGTAGCTCAGCTAGGTGAAGCAAAGAAGACAGACAGAGAAGAGTCCTTAAACAGGGTGGACCAGACCTTGACCGTGTGTCAGAGGTCACTGTAGAGATCATTTCTACTTAGAAGAATACAGTTGCCTCATGGAGAGATGCCTTAGCACTCTGGAGGGTAGAAACAGCCAGCTTCCAGTCAGAGAGCCACCAAATATCCCTGTTTAAGGATTCCTGTTATTAGTTTTTGTGGGTATTCACTTTCTTTCAGGGCCTCTTAACTTCTTTATGATGTCGGAAAATAATTCAGAACTCTGCTGTGAGATACGAGTGCCCTCCGTGGACAATGTACGCCTCTCACTGCTTCAGAATGGAACAGAGGTGCAAACGTACTTTAATGCAACTCGGAATGGAACGGAATTCGTCCTGTCCACACGCTTCCAGGTGGTGTCCCAAGAGACGCTGATGTTCGAGTGCCGGCTGAAGTATCGTGACTGCTTCCATACAACGCAGATCCTTCGTCAGAAGCCACAGCGTGAGTCGGAGATATGTCTTTTGCCTCCAGGGCATCTGATTACAGGACGTTAGGTCAACGTTCGAGACCAGCTGTATGAACTTGTATAAAAGAGGGGTAGGCGGGGGAGTTGGTTGTTTTGTGGCTGTGGTGCTGACACACCCAGTGCTTAATATCACTCGGTTTAATAAGGCATATCTCCACCCCACCCAATTACCATCTTCGATCAAGTCCTGGATCGACCTATTCTATTTGTGCTGGGATTTCATAGCTTTGAGTGATGCTGGATCAACTGGGTGGGCAACTTTAAAATAGCTTTTTCATTTAAAACTTGCACAGACACAGTCACGCCGTCACCTAATGTAAGGCATAACATTCACTGGACTCTCTCCTGTTAGGCATGGAGAGGGCATTTTGAAAACTATTGTATGTGTGTATGGGGCACAGCGATATTAACAATAGAGGTCCATTCTTTGCTCTGTAATTCTGGGTATTTCCTCATAGTGGGGGAATATCAAAGTAATTTTAACTGCTCGTTCACTAGATCTACCAAAGCATTTAAAAACATGAATAAGAAGGGGACTGTTGTTGCAGCAGGTATTGTATTGAGTAGGTGGGAACTGTCCATAATGTGTATGTAATACTTTATAACATTCTCACTATTCACTTTTTGAACACTTCGAGTTTGTTTATAAGCAGCACCTCAAAAAAATGTTGCCTGAAGAAAACTTCCGTCTCAGTCCCCTGGAAAATCCCTCTTATCTCTCTTTTTAGGCCTGGAGCCCCAGCATCCTCTCATCCTGTATACCTTCATCCTGCTGTTTCCTTTCTGCACCCTCCTCCTCATCCTCTCCATCTTTCTGGCGAGAAGCAAGTACCAGACTCTGTGCTGAACGCTTCAGGCACGAGAGGCTCAGCCCCTCAGAGCTCCAGAGAACAGGCCTGGGCGTCTCTCCTGTAGAATGGGTAGAATTGACACCGCAGGCCCAAGATTGTGGAGAAACACTAGAAATATGGCTGATCCATGTTCTTGTATTTTAAAAAATACTAGTGATCTTTGTGCTCTCTTCATTGAAGAACTAGGAGCAAGTAATCCTTGTTTTTTTTAAATAAAACAACGCAGGTATGCAGTTTGTGCTATTCATTATCACTTTATCAGAGTGTTCATTATATGTTACATGCAAAACGTTACATTTATTGTTTGAAATCTAACAATAAAATATCATATTTTCATTTGTCTGCTCTGTTCCATATTAAATTCCTCACTAAACATAAATGAGAAATTTATTCAGAAGTGCAGAAGAGCATAGTGTTGAACAGGCTTTGTCAAATCCTTTACATACTACATGACTAAAGCCCAATAATACTGGAATTGTTTGTCATACCCCACCAACAAGATTTTGATTCTTGTTAGAGATTTCCTACATATCTAATTGACTTTTGTTTCAGAATTTTGCGATACATTATAATGGTATTTTTAATACCATTACATCGCACGTTTTTCCATATTTTGTATCAAAATCCAGAAGCTATTTCTAATGCTAATTGAGTAGTAATTAAATCAGTATCATTGAGAAACATGAATTAAATGCTGGAACCCCATTCAAATGAACAGAAGACATAAAGAATAAATTTCGGAAAGTTTTCCAGTCGAGTTCAATGAAAAGATGGAACATGTTACTGCCCACCTCTGTTGGCAGTGCATGTTTTTCCCCTGTTCTGTTTCTCACAGAAAACCCTCCAACATTGCTTCAGTGTTCCCCAAGACGCAGATCATGTGCACGAAAACACAGAATCAGCCATCTACTGAGGTAGCTGATATATTTATGTCAAATATTTGCTGGAAATATCTCAATAAAACGCTTTATGAAGGGTTTAACCCTCCAGAAATTAAGAGATCTTCAGACTGGTTCTGGCTATGTTCTCTGTTGCTTTAATTGGCTCCTGAGTGCTTGGTTTCACATTTTTATGATACCAGTTGGTGCATATCCATCAGTAGAAAGCTACTGATTCCTAGTAAGGTTCGTGGAAGCCAGGAGCCTGTCCTGGAATATTTGGGTACCTATACCTCTGGATGGAGCCCCAGTCCATCACATTCTATACAGGGAAATTTATTCCCCTCATTAGTTGTCACTTCCACTTTTTCGGCAGCAGTTTTTCACCTGCTGGGCAGTAAACATGTTTAGGGTACTCTCCCATCACACCTCTTGACATTGACAGTTGAAGGGAGAGCCGACTATATTTGAATGTTGTGGCTTTGAGCTCTTAAAGCCAGCCCTGCTGTTGCATCCTAATGTGAACTTCTGTTCTTTGACTTCTCTAAATGATTAGTTGAATAAAGAACTCAGGCAAAACGTGTCCTGGAGGTTTAAGTCAGCGCTCTTCATTTTTAACTCATATACAATTCTGCCACCTAGCGGTGGCATTTGGAGACTAGGACGTTCAGACAGTTCAAAGTCTAGACAGTCGCTAAAAAATAAGAAACATTTATTGTCACCTCGAGAAACATGGACGGACAGCGCTTTTATACATCTAAATAAATAAAACATCACACATCAAATCTATTACAGATGCATAACTCGTTAAAACATAGTCATGACGTTGCGCGTACGTACCGTAGTTTATTACAGCATAATCTGTTTATACCGATACAATTGCATTTATCCTTTATTTGTATTAATTGCTTTAAGAGACAAGGGAACAATCTAGTATCTGTGTTTATTTGATTTACATTGGTAACCCTTAAACGTTTGCCAGAGGGGAGAAAAAACTGATATCCAGAATCAAGATAATGAAAAGGGTCTGATATGATTTTGTCCGCTTGTATAATCATGGATTGTACAATAATTATCTGTAAAGAGGGGGGCTGCTGCACTCTCATTACCATCGCCGCTGTTCGGACAAGACGGGTGATTTGTGATCTGAACTGAATCGGTAAATTAAGCCAACTGTGGTCCTGGAGTGCAGCGTTTGTTTCTATTTTTTGTTTCAATTCCTTATCAGTCACTAATGATTTAATTGAACCAGACAAATGGCTAAGTAGCCAAATTCCCGTATGAGGAGTTTCCGTCTCGACGCACATAAATTAGAAACACGCTGTAGCGCTCCTAGCTTCTCACAGCTTACATTTTAAAGCCAGACCATAACATGGAATGGAATTGCTTTAAGAACTCAGCCGGTCACATTTTGCATAGAAGAAACAAGAATCGCATTCACGGGATCCTGTTACAGCCCATGAATAAAAAGTTTGATATAGTTTAGTAAACCATGAAAACGCGTTCTACCACCCTTGGAGACCCTAGTAAATAAAATAAGACAAAAAAAAAAAAGGAAAAGTCTGTGAACTACTGTCACCTATTTGGTACAGGGTGCGAGAGCGGCGTTCTGTGAGTTTAAATTAACGAGTCGTGGCAGAATTAGGCATTCCTCTCACATCTGACAAGCCGGATAGGCCAATCGGCCCATTTAACTCGTTCCGTTTGCTGGTTGACGGTTTATTTGAGCACATCGGCTCCGACAACGGAAGTAGCTTGTCGTAGTTTCAAATGCACCTCTGCCGAGACTATCCCAGCAAGCACCGGACACTGGGCAGGATACACACTGGGCGGGAGGCCAGTCCATCGCAGGACACACACAGACACGCACACTCACGCCAGGCCCAATTGTACAGGAGCGACCGTGCCTGAAAATATTATCCATTTCTCTCTCTTCCCAATGTCCAGGCTTGCGCGACGGGCACGCACTCATTATCTGCATAACGTTCTGACAGAGGTTTTGTTTTTTCTCTGTAACGCGGTTTCCTTGTTCGCCGCGCATTAGGTTATCGTTTCCCTGGGATACGGTGGTGCCTAGATACAGTAATTTGCAAATCACCGCTGGCTAAAAGCTTGGTCCCTATGTCCACGTCCAACAACAAACCGACACCTGCGGCTTCTGCAGCAGCAGTGAATGTATCTCACGGCTTTGATGATTTGTTTTATCCTTCTGGGTTTGCGCCGTATTTGCATTGTTTCTGAGAAAACACCGGTTAAAAAACAAAACGACCTCTCGGCCGAGTCAAAAGTAGTGTAAGGAGTACAGTATCCATTAGAGTCTATGGAGAGTTACATGGACTCTAATTCTTTAAAGTTATTAACTTTTTTTAGGGCTTTCTACTGAAAAAAACAACAACTTTTAAATTAATTTACACAAATCATAGATACAGTTCAATTCGTAGTGTACCAAACTTTTAGCCCCGAAAAAAAAAACTCCTACAGTGAAAGCTACAGTGTAAGGAAAGAAAGCTGTAGAGTTGAATTAACCCTTCTATGCTTAGCATACTGTTCACGTGGATTGACACATACAGGTCATTTTGATTTAGTGATGGTGTGAAAACATGCCGGTTAGGGTCTCTGTAAGGCCGGAATCAGAGACTCTCTCTTGCCAAAAACATCAGTTGCCTGCCGATCCAGACTCGTGTCTGTTTAATCAGCTATCGGTCTTTCTCTATGTGTTATTAATTGTTATTAATTGGAAAGCTGTTTGGAATTCTTTGAAGAGACTGATTGGAGCAACAGTTTATTACAGCTGACAACAGGCAGACATGAGTTTTTTGCCAGATGTCTTAATAATAAAATGAGATTACATTAAACTAATTTGGAAAAGACTTCAGTTGAGGATTCAACAATCCTCCGCAGTTAAGGGCTTATTCACAAGGAAGGCCAAAAGGGATCCAGCAGTGATTGGAGAGGAATGAGACTGAGAATCTCTGCCGTATAGAGAGAGTCTTTTGCAGCTGTTAATGTATGCGAAATGCACTAGTTTTCTAATGTCTAGTGTTCATTTGGCCTTAGTGGGATATTGTGGCATTTCAGTATGGTTGGCTAAGTGCCAATTGACCCTCTTCCACAAGGTTTTAGCATAATTCATGCCTTCAGCCTTGGGCAGTATGCAAGTGCTTGAAAGTATGCAAGGCTAATGAATCGTGCAGGTCTAACCTTGAGCTCAGTATGCATACTAGCCATGACTGTGCACAGCACATGGAAAATGGCTGCTTTTTAACTCAGATCAGTCTCCACTTCCTTTAGGTTCAGAAAACCCACCCTGTTACCCTTGTCCAGGAGCAGGGATTGTTTATGAGCTGTGAACTTCTAAAGTGTGTAACCAATTGCTTTTGCCCTTTTTGTAATTGCCCCTAATGTCAATTAAAAACACTTGATTATTGTCCTGATTAATTCCAAAACGTCTCATTGTTAATTACTCACTTAATGACTTCTAAGGCACCCCGTTTCATGCAGAATACGCAATCTGTCTCAAGGACACACGTGGACTTGTTGAGCACAAACTCGAGCTTTGATTTCCCAGAGTCAACAAGGGCTTATTGTTGAGTATGGGGTGTCATTTTAATAAATAATTGAGGATTTGCAGGTATCACAAGGGCAGGAACAATAAAACATACTGTAGGTTACCTTAATATTCAAGGTATTACCTTTTTTTTCAAGGTCTCACCACTACATATGTATTTTTCCACAATATTTTTATTGTTCCTGTTGTCTACATTGCGTGGTGTTGTCTGTTGTACTGTGTATACCCCCACAGTTTAACGCGATTAAGAATTCCAGTGTACGTGTACAAGTGGCAATAAACTACTCTACTCTACTAGTCTTCATAAAGGTGACCACATCTATCCATTCATTTTCTAACCACTTCTTCCACTTCAGGGTCACAGGCGAACCAGAGCCTATCCTGGCCAGCAATGGGTGCAAGGCAGGGTACACCCTGGATGGGACACCAGTCCATTGCAGGGCAGAAAAACACACACTCACCTGGCCAGAAGCCAGTTTACTGTCAAATATGTCTTTGGACAGCGGGAGGAAACTGGAGCACCTGGAGGAATCCCGCACAAACACAGGGAGAACATACAGGCTCCACACAGACAGCACCCCAGATCCAGACCCCAGTCCAGAGGCTGGTACTGCACCACTATGCAATGACTTACAGTCTGCAGTATTCGTACGACACAATTTGCATTTCTAAATGCAAAACTGTTTATTCTATGTATTATACACAGAAATTGTACAACACATGCACCATTACAACAGCAAACAGATAAGATAAGATCACTTTATTGGCCATATACAATTTCTTGTATTAGGAATTTGTCTTTTCACATACCCCAGCTTGCTCTCCATGAGACACACAGACAGGGAGAGAAGCTGGGGGTCAGAGCGCAGGGTCACCCATTTATACAGCGCCCCTGGAGCAGTTGGGGTGAAGGGCCTTGCTCAGGGGCCCAACGGAGTAGGATTCCTCTGCCGGCTGTGGGATTTGAACCGGCAACCTTCCAGCCACAGGCGCAGATCTTGAGCCACAGAGCCAGCGCTCTGCCCCTTGGATAAGAAACTATATGTTTGCCCTCATATGATTTTTCACAGCTATTTATGCTAAATAAAGAAGAGAATCAATGTTTTGCACAACCTCCTTTTTATATCTATACCCTCAAATGTATTTAAAATCACAATTGTATGAAACCCTTTTGTATTCCTTCCATTCTGCGTGACTGCTGGGTATTATCGCATTTCTCCTCCTCACTTAATATGCTGAGAAATCAGAATTCTGGATAAGAGATATATACTCTACACGGATTATGCACAAGGATGTCTATTTTCCCAGAAAAAAAATGTTGACCAAGCAGCTTGCCTTCTTTGTCTGCTCATTTGATTAGCAAATGAACATGAGAGCACACCTACATTGTGAAACAACAGCTTGATTTACCAAGTCCAGTGTCAGTGATGCAAATTTGTGCAAATCAAAGTTTTATTTCCCCCTTGCTGAGCTCAGTGCCCACACAGGGACTGAGGGCAAATATTTGTCCAGTCTCTCACCCCAAAAGTTTGTCCAAAGTTCTGCATTTGGGGGCAAGTGTTTTCAGTCTTTTGCTTTCTGCCAGTCTTTGCCCAAACCACTGCCTTGGCACATATTTCTCTATGAAACATTCTTGGCATCAGATGATTTCAGTATGACCCCACTTATTCAGTGCAAACAGCTATTTGTCAAAACTCTCCCTTGAAACTGTGATTCTCCCTTCGGGTGAGCTACAAGCAAATGACTTACTCCACAGTAATTGAATTAGATGGGCACTTTGCCCAAGGTTGACCCAGGAGAAAAACTAGGCTTTTAAAACCTTGATGAAAGGCTTATGTGGAGAAGTAATTAGTTGAATGTGTTTTTGAAGTCTTTGAATTAATATTGCTACCAAACCACAGGGGTGAATTCCTTAGATACTTAACTCTTCGAGCTCTAATGTTCCATAAGGAGAAGCTGGGTTTTCAGTGAGGGTAGGAATTCTATCACATAGGTGTAGCCCAGGGGTGCCCATGAACACTTTTGGTATGTCAGCAGCAGTCAGCAACAGTTAGTTGGTAGTCAACAGCAGTAAGTGATTGATTTTCTCCAAACTGTCCTCCTCGGTGGCAGTTCTCAGTGTTGTGCCCTTTCCCTGGTAATCTAAGAGCTCGATGCTGCCTGTGTTTGCTGCATTTTCTAAGTACAATACCAAGGACAGCAGCAGTAAGCCGAGAAAAGTCAACTGAAAATGACTTGGTGGTTATTCATCACCTCGTTCTATAAAATGGCAGATAAGCGAAATTATGTGCGGTGGATGGGCAGTATATATACATACATTACGTCCTGCCTGTGGTGAACTTTATTTTCCTTCCCGCATGAAAGATATTGAAACGCGTTTGCAGGCCAAAAGGCTTTCTGCAGCGTCAGCGGTACGGTTTAAAAAAAAAAAGAGATCGCTTGACACGAATCCGGGCCTTCGTCGTCTCTGCGTCGGACGTGGAAGAAACCTGATGAGGCACTAAATATAGTCGGTACAATCCAGGCACCGACCCACCGGTTCAGAAGACGCACGCAGCCTTCGGCCGCTTTCTGTCGGTCAACAGGGTCTCGCGTGTTTCGTTTGCCGTGGACGTGGGAAGAGAACATGACACAGTCGTCGGCGGCGCGTCATTGTCAATAGCTGTCCGTAGGTGCTGTTTGACCAAGACTGACCCGGTCCAGTCCTGCCTCTGAGAGCTGACAAGATTAGAACAATACTTCTGAAGAATCAGTACTGTAGGATTCTGCAGAACAACCTAATGTATACAATTCAGTCCGCTTCTTTTGCTCCGCTTGAAAATAATGTGAAATAAAGTGGCGAGGTCAGTTTACTACGGCCGCATCGTAACTCCGTCTAACCCACACAGTTTATGTCACGATAACCGCCTGACAAATGTCCTTTGAACATGGGTTTTATCATATATATATATTAATATCAATACATCTACAGTACATTAATACGACTCTCCTAAGCATTACTTGACATCACAAGGTCCTTACTGACATAAAAGGTAGAATGGTGAAGCAGACTGTCATTCTTAGCCACAACAATTGTTTAAATTCTTTGCGTTTATTACTAATCATCGTCACGAAACGGGTGGGAAGCGTTATCTGTGTCCAGCGATCTTTGGCAGACGCGCGGGCTGCAGCGCATATTCGAAACGAGGCTGCTCGTGTCGAGGGTGGATATTTCCGAGAAATCCCGGACTCGTCTGCTGCGCTGCTAGATACGCCTGGATTCTCGCCCGCGTCTCTCGTCCCCTGTTGTTCCATCGGGAGGGCGAAGTGCTCATGCGGGCTTGCTTCTGTACACAGGCAAGGTGACCTCGGCTCCAGCCTGCAGTCTCGCCTGCCCGTTCCCGGCTTCACTTCCTCTCCCAGGCGGGGCGAGCGATCCATCCCCAGGCTGTCCGACACCCGGAGGAGCCTAGAAATGACTAGAGGTAAGTAAAACAGCCAGAAAGGTGATGTGGACTTGTAGGTTTGGACAGTACGAACACTGAAAGAAATGACAATTCTGGTCTCCATCTGAGTCCGGGGGCACCGCCGAGTCTCAGTGCCGGCCACCAAGGGTACAGTTATACTGTGTCATCGTGCTCGGGGCTGGCTTACTCGGTGTTGCGCGAATTATAGGCAGAACAGCAAAGTTTTACTCAATCGTAACTGCTCTTCACTAATAATCTAATAAAGTTATACAAAAACAAACACTGTAAACGCTAGAGTACATTTAAATACAAAACTGGCCAAACTGGGCTGTCGCGCCTTTCTAGAGAAATTGCACTACCGGCCTACTTGAATTAAGAAAAAAATATGATGAAAACGTTTGTTTTTTCCCCCCTGAACTTCTTCGCACAAGTATCTGGAGTCTAAATAATGTATATATAATAACTAGAGTAGGACCTAAAATTCTACCGTGGTCAGATGTAGGCTGTTATCGCTGCTGGTGGAAATACGGGGATTTACTGTAGTGTTTTCAGTAGCTTGTTCCCTCAGCTGTAAAGTTATCGTTCATGCTCAAGCAGCTGATACAAAGACTGCTTTCCTGAATGACGAGCAGTTCGTGTATTGATAATGAGAACTGGACTATGCTTTATATTCGTGTTCGTCTCCGATGTAAAAAACTTACGCCGGGACGTTATTTTGTTTCTTGCAACAACCATGTATTGGTTCTAAATGAACACTTAAGACATTTTCATGTCAATATCCGATTCGCACAGCATGCCATCTAAGATCTAAAAATGCATCATTGTGTAAAATATCTCATTTAGTATTTATTGCAGTAGCTTTTCTGGCCAATCGCTTAATTTGAATCTGGATCAAAGTGTGAAAGCGCTTTTGCGTCGGGGCAGCTCAGACTGACGCGTTATGAGTTATTGAGATATCTCCGTACGCTGCGTCATGCTTTGGCGATGGTAAATCAGCGGGTTAGATCTCGTTGGAAAGGGACTGCTCAGCCAGTTCGATAATTCCTCAGATATATTGTCAGCCACCAGATGGAGTTACAAACCTGGACCTGAAATGCCCCCCTATCTCCCGTAGCAATTGGGAAGACGTTTTGCTAACCACTCTAAGAAGAATGAAACAAAACATCAAGTTCAGCGTTCGCCAGATTCCGCTTTTTCCTTTTTCTCTAATAAGCTCCCTGGGCGCTGTAATCTAACTGTTGTGAAATTCTGATGGGACAGACAGATGACAAATATGAAAAGACAACTTACACCGCAGTTAACGATAAATCTAGTTTCTAGAACTCTCTCTCTCTCTCTGTATTGGTTCCTTAGCATTGTAATATGAATCTTATGAAGGAGCCCTTAGAAGGGTGGGGCTAGAAAACAGTTGCAAGCTCCCACAACTCTTTGTGTAAAGAAGTGATTTCAGAACCCCACGTATCTAACTTGCATTTGTGTCTTCTAGTTGTAATTCTTGAAAGGGGGACAGTTGTTTAGGGCTGGTTTTGAACTGAGAAGCATTCAAGAACCCGAGTTTAAACCTCTTGGTGTTAACACACTTTTCATTACGGGAGTAAACATGTTTGTGACAAAATCGCCAACGTGCAATGAGTGGTTAATTTGAATTCAATCAAAGTGTGACTCGATTTCCAATCCCTATATCTCCATTGGGTAAATCATTACACAGTACTCGGATAATCAGCTAGTAACCTCTCGATCCTTTAAGAGGTAGGGATTTAATACTTTTATCTGATCTTCCCTGTCCTGTTAGCTAAACCAACAAAGATAAGCTTTTGGGACATGCGTATAACTGACGAATTCCCTTTGAGTTAATTATTTCCTTAGCCCAGGGCTCAACGGAATAATTGGGAGAATACTGTATTTGCGCCGTTGATCGGGCTGATGAAGAACTAGACATCGATACATTGCTACTACTCGGAATAGCCACCAGAGGGCAGAGCTGAAATATTCAGAACAACGGTGCTGGAAAAATTCAGGACCCGCTGATCACATTTAAAGCAGCCCCAAAGAACAGGAACTTCGTTCGTTTAGTTCCAGTTTCACGTCTTGTTTTTATTCCCAGTTTGATATTCTGTACATTGAGGCAGACATTTATTCTGGGGATTAATAGGGCAACACATTGAGATTCAAACAAAAGCATTGGTTGATTAATTCACCTTCTTTCATAGACTAATACTGTGCAATGATGTCCTGTCTAGTAACGTTTATAAAGGGACATCATATTTATTTTTTAAATTTTGTAAATAGATTTGAAGCAACTGAGCCGCTGGGTTGTTTCTTTTATTTTTTTTCTAACCCTTTAGGAAGAAGGAGTCTAACGCTACACAGGAAGCTTATCTCCTTTAAGGTGGATGGAACATTTTTTTTTACTTTCCGTGTCTTTGCAAATCATTTATCGAAAGGAACTTGTCATGATATCATAGTATCTTATCTGGTGGTATTGTAAGATCAACACTGCGAACGTAATAGGTTTTTGAAGATAGATAAGCATCAAGATCTTTAGGGGTAAATCAGATTGATTAATATGCTCTCTAGAAACAGAGGGTTGTAAAGAAGGCCAAGGGCGTTATAATGTGTAAAACACCCCCTCCACTGTGAATTTACCACTACTCGCACTGGGAGATACTTCTGTGTCCCAAGAAGGGATATAGGTTTACAAAATCGTTCAGCCGTCAGCAATCTTATCTAAAAAAAAAAACTTTGAAACTGAGTAACCCATGCAGGGTTGATAAGTACCAAATCCCAGTCGACGTTTTTAGATCTATTAAGAGTTGAAAGCCCATTTAAAAGCAGGTCTCAGATGGAACACTGGAATCAATTATCCCGTGACAAAGTGGACATGGTAGGTACCTCAGGACCAGCACCGAGAACCAGTCTTTTAGATGCGGTACGTCCATCACAATGGAAAATGTCATTTTATTTTCCACTAACGTGCGCGTTTGCGAATGCCATCTAACGGGTTAAGACAACCCTTTCGCACCGTGAGACTCTGAAGGGGATTGCGGTTTCTCAAGCGCGTTTGGAGCTGTCAGAACGTGGCCCGGGTGCTCTTCCTACGTTCTTAGCAACTACACAGCTGCGAAATTCACAGCACTAGGCTTTCTCGGCCTGTTGAAATCTGCCCGTGCCGTCATTATCTGCTGAGGGTGGAGAGAGGAGGAGGAGGAGGGATCGTTGCTGTTCCTAACCCCTAAAGTTTCACGGAACTGTGGGAAAAAAAATGGTTTAAACTCGGAGCTGTTAAGTACCAGACCTAGGCGGTCACATCAGTTAAACCTGGGAATTTGAAATGCGTGCACTTTTAATGCTGTTTCCGACCGTTTCTTCGTAAATAATGCATTACCGAACACAGTTATCTCGACTTATCATATAAATGGGGTTACTTCCCAAAATAGAGCACGGCTAGAGAGCTTATTGGTCGCCCTTTCACATGCCAACTCAGAAATACCGATCTCCGATTGGTGAAGGAGGCGGCTTTGTAGCTGTCGGTCTCGGCGTGTGTCTTCTAGGGCTAACACGAGGGGGCCGAACCAAAAAAGTTTTTGTTTTTTTTTTGAGGGGGGGGATAGCGTTCACCACCTCTATGCGCCCTGCTCCTCGACCGTCTTTGCTCTCGCAAACTTCCGAGGAGCAATTTTCGTGATATAGCGTTACAGCTTTATCTTGGCTGATCCAAGAGGTCTTTTTCTTGGGGAAGTTATTTTTCGATATAAGCCGTGCATGATCTCACCCCCCCCCCCGTCGGAAAAGTTTTATTTTTCTGTACTCCGGCTTTTGTTCCGGGGGGGAAACGGGGAAGCTGGCGAAATTGGGCTTTTGTGCGTACAGTACACGGGACATTTCCCCATGAAACCCGGGAAGTAAAGTCGTCGCCTGCGGCCGCGGGGGAAGAGCTGACTCAAGTCTGGCCGGGCTGCGGGGGGCTCGGGCGCGTCGGTGCCGGGGAGAGCGAGCCCACCGAAACCGGGGATCATGCTGATGTATTCCTGCGAGAAAGCGGAGCTCGTCACTTCGCGAACCGTCACCCGATTAGTCTACGAAGCGGAGCAGGAGAACCGTAACGGATGCCATTCCTCGGCGGGGAGGTAGGAAACGGGAAAGTGTTTTCGAAGAATAAAAACCCGGAGCGAACACGGGATCGCACTGCGGTGCTTTGTATAATTTGGCTGGAGAGATGCTTTGCTGTCGCACGTTGCTTCCCTCTGTTTCCAGTTTGCACTGTACTGTCTTATTTTGCTCAGCAGTGCCACAAAGTACATCATTGCCAGCCACCGGCCGTGGGTTTAAATGAGCCATGATCGTCTTTCTTTGTCTCAACCTCCTGCGCAAAAGTGGCGTGTTGGCAGCAACAGTTAGAAGATGTCTGGCAATTGATTTCTTTTTAGTGCTCAAGTGGGGGAAAGAGATGCCTCCTCTTGTCCGTTTACACGAAAACCGGAGTTTTGGTTGGATTTGTTTCGTCTTTCAAATGTGCTGCTCATTGTTGCCCCGTCTCTTGCCTGGAAACGTGCGTCTTTGAATAAGATGACCCTAGTGGATATCGCCTTTCTGGAAGTCTCTCTTCTCGGGATTCCAATGCTGTCCGAAAAAATGAGACTTTTCAGGCTCGGTTAATCTCGGTTTGAACTTGCGTCCTGTAAGGGGGACCAAGTTCCGTCTCCTTTTAAGCGAGACCAAGCGTTTCTTACCGTGGGCGAGAGAGGGAAATGCAGTAAGCACGGGGAGGAAGACGGTTAGAGCCATAAAAATAGGAATTTAGGAAGAAAAACTATTGCTGTGGGTAGTCCACGTCTTTGTCAACAAAGCGAAGTTGACCGGTCAGCTTCAGGCGCGACCTGGAGATACTTAACGGTGCAGGAAAACCTTATGAATGGAAACGCTTTTTATATTTAAACATCCGTAGCAGGCAGGCACTTTCAGCTTTTCCAGGAAGGCCTGGAGGTGTCTGAGCGTGTCTGAGGGCTGTGTGGATGAAAGGAGGCGCCGTGGCTGTCAGTGACATTGTATCGGGGAACAACGTGAAGTGTCTCGCAGCCTGTGAATTGAGATATGTTTTGCCTTCGCCTTCCAGCTGTCTGGTTTCAAGGCTTACTAGCGGGTCCATGTAGCGTGGATTAGGTACAGTACGGGTCTCTCTCCGGTTCTGCACTTTAATTACAGTATCTGTTGTTTTGGGAAGACGAGCTGACGCTTGTGGGTTTTGGATTTGTTTGATTGGTCATTGTGTCAGCAGGTTTAGTAGGTCTTTTAAGACCAGGGATCTAAACCTCGGGCCTAGTGTCGCCTGATATTTGTTGTTTCAGTGTGAGCAGCCAATTAAAAGATATAATTCATTTTTAATTGGACTCGTAGTATTTTTCTTGAGTAGACATCTCAGAACTCCTTTTTGAAAGTACCATTCGCTAAAAATCACCCTGCAGTGTTGTTAGATTTTTTGACAGTTACGCACCCAGTTAATTAGACCAACTTTGTAACGGAGCAAGTCTTCAGCAACCAAGTGTCAGAAACTCCAGCATTGGAAGATTTTGAAGAAGCTGCTGAACTGGTCAAATTGGGCCACAAATGAGCTGATTTGGATATAGATGCTGTGGACATACTAGCCCTCTAGGATGAGGATTGTGGACCCACTGTTTCCAGTGTTTTCAAATCATCTACTAGAAATATGGAGAATTCAGGTCCTTATGAAAAAGAATGCTTGAGATGTAAAGAGGTGTTTGTGTATGTACAGTACTCTGGTGCCCTTGGTCTACTCAGTCTCAGTGTGGGAGTTTGGTTTCCTGCGCAATTTTGAGCTGGAGTGATTGACCGCAGGTTTGTAGCCCCACAGAATCCACCTCTTCTGATGGAGAGGGGAACCACTTAGTTTTTTTTCCTGAGAATTTTGACTCTGGTAAAACAGAATTTCTGTTCCTTTACCGGCTATTGACTCCCGCTTGTGAGCGCAGAGCTCAGTCTGCCCTGAATCCGTGCCAGCATTGACAGGGAAGTGGTGCTCTTATCTTTATTGAGCGGCCATTGGAGATAAAGTGCTGTTTTAAATAATCCCAGTTCCAGCTAAAGAGGCCTCAGGGTCTGAGCTGTGCAAACACAGTTTGGCCAAGGTTGTCTTACATGAGGAGAAGGGGCTAGGAAAGCAGAGGAGCAGCTCATTTTCAAAACGCAGGGCAGGCTGGCCCTGTGGCCACCTGTCAGCATCTGACATCTGTCCGGCTGCACAGTAATGGCAGGAAATGGAGGGTGGCTGAACTTTTTTTTTTTGCTACACAACGCACACTTCGTTTCTTCACTTGGGCCCTGCTTTGTGTGGTTCAAAGCTGCACTAACAGCTGTGGCGAACATTATGCTCTCTCCCTTGGCAGTTTGAGAATGAGCTCCTTCCTCTTGTCCTTTGCAGAGTTCCTTCAGTCCTCTTGACTTCGTGCTCGGTATACTTAGCTGTTGGCCGTGTGGAGGCCTGGACTGTGTGGCGAATTGCAACAGTTCTCGCATGAGGACATTGTGCAGTTTCAGGATATCCTCTCTTGTCGCATGCAGATGGTATCTGAGCTGTTGCTAAACCATTCGTGAAAGCCGGGCTGGCAGGAGCATGCCTGTGACCTTTGCCTTCAGAAAATGTAAATTCCACTAGTTGTGGTTTTAATTTTTTTTTCAAGGCAAAAGGGCTGTTTTAGTTTGTGAGCGCCTACGTGATTCGAGTTCTTTAAGAACATCTCTTTACAGAGAACGTTATGTGTGCTTAATCAATCTAGATGTTGCACAGCACCTTTTTTTTAAAATAGGGAGCAGCACAGTCTTTAGAGAAATGCGTGGTTACCGCGGTTCAGAGGAATCCAAATATGGACTCAGTGGTTTCAAGGGTTTGATGTTTCCTTGTGAAGATAAGTTACTGGTTGCACCAAGACCCGTACTGGAAGAGTTCTGCAGTAGAGCATACAGGGGTGTTATGGGAACTCCAGTCCTGGATGGAGGGATGCTCTCTGTCCTGATTTTTTTTTATTACCTCCACTCCCCCAATGGAACTACTTACCTGAACTGCAGTAATTTAATTTATTTTTCACAGTTGGGGGGAAAAACAAGGTGCTACATGTTGTTTAGAGATCTGTAATCCACGGTGGACAGTATTCTTGCATACATGGTATAGGGCACCCCTGACCTATGCTGACTTGCCAGGATTTTAGGAATGCCCAGAATAATACAGTCTCTGTCTCAGGCAAGTTGTGGAGAGGCATAGAACAGACTGTCATCATTCTCCCTGTCCTAAACAATCTTCAGATTTGTCCCATCAGAACAGTAAACGAGCAGTGCAATCGCAGACACCATTACCCTGATAATGTGGACATTCCTAATATTTTGGTCACTTGGCATAATTATGACACCTCCAATTAATAGTAAGTAAACAGATCTGTGATTTTTAATGTTGTTGTAAGGCCCTTGTGTCTCTCAGACAAAAGTGGTGCATTAAGGAGAAAACCGGTACTAGTTTTATCAGGAATGCTGCACTTGAATATGAGAAATCGAACTACTTTGCCTACAAAAGCCTTCAATGTTTTAATGTGAAACACGCTTTGGGTATTTGTGATGGGTACAGGAAATGTAGTCTTCGAAGGGCTTGTACATTATACATTAGGAAGCTGAACTTTTTTAGTCATAGTCCCTTGTTTTTGGAAGACTCTTTTGTTCCACATTAATGTAGTCTCTGTTGAGCTTTTTAAGTCTTGATTTACCTTGTGGTTTTGATGGCCTTCAATCCTTAATCTCTTTCTTTTGTTTAATTTGCTTCATTATATCTGGTTCTATTGCATAGTCTGTACACTACACTGCGTTCTATTGTGCAGTTCAGCTCAAGTGCTTTGAGATATATTGAAAGGCGCTATATAGAATGATATTGATTGATTGCGGGTTTTGGAGGTGAGTGCCTGGCAAAATGCCGGAGGAAGCTGGTTTTTGTGCAGGTTCTGTTGCAATTCTTTTGTTCACTTATGTGAGATGCAATACCGAAGGACAGCTGAGAAGACCTTTTGGGGTTGGAGTGGTCCATTCCAGAGTAATTTGTCATAAGAATGCAGCTGGACCTCAGTTAATACCCCCCCACCCACCCCAGCCCTTGGATCACCACATTGGGCAAGCGTTTAAAGCCCCAACACTGACACAGCATGAACACGCCACAGTGCCAGGGCCTGACCATTCATCTGAGGTGTTCTGCACCCTGCACATGCACAGGACAGTGTCCAGAAGAGGGGAAGTGACATCATTTGTTTTCTTAAGAGGGTTCTGAAAGCTTGTTTTTGGCTGGTAATACAGAACTATCATGAGTCACACAGAGTTACACAGACAAAGTTCTGTGTAGGTAAAATGCGATCAATGAGACAAAATGAGATCACGGAGAAGAGTAATTTATGGACAAAAGCTGCTACAAATTGCAGGTGAAATCACAATTACACAAATAAGAGTTAATAAGACCCGAATAATAAAGTTAATAATTTCCTGACGGCTTTCTTTTTCAAATACAAAGTGAATAATTTAAGGAAACAAAATGGGGATAGGGGACCTCAATCACTTAACTTTATACAATGTACCATCATTTTACCTTACTGTATGCAAGCCGCGTAATTAAATTTCGCTGATAGCTTTTACTGCTGGTGTCCTGCTTACAAGATTGGACAAAGAACTGTCATAATGAGCACTGCAGAAATGCTTTGTATTTGCGAGCGCTACGTGAACGCTTTCACACTGCGATTCCGTACCTACGTGATCCGTAAGAGTCTAAGTCTAGACTCTTGCAGATCGGTGGCTGAGATTAATCAAAAATGGCAAAATTGCCATGGCCAGTTAATTCTCTCTGTTTAGCCGTGATCAGTAGGTGGAAGCTGTGATCTGGACATGATGGCCAGAAATTTTGACCGGAGCCAAAACTGAAATTTTAATCCCAAGTCTTATCTTCTGAATTTAGGGAGAGAATCACCTTAAATTCATGATTTAAGTCGTGCCATGTTGCCTGTCTGTCTATAGGGGCTAACCCTGCTTTGTCTGTGTGCAAATCCTTTGCCCTTAAGGTAGTAGCTGCAGCAGCTGATAGCTTCTCGGAAAACCACGTGCCATCAACCAGATCTGCTTTCCTTTTCACAGTTCTCTGGCACAGCAAGCCTCAAGTGTTACAGGCCTACTCCTGCGGACAGCTGTTCCAAGCGCGGAGGGCAACAAGTTCCGCCTTTATGGAGATGAAGCTCTTTCTTCAGCTTTGGCTCCACTGATTCCAAAGGAACGCCGAGCTCATCTCGGGCATTGTTGTGCCTTAATGGGGAATGACAGGACCTCGCCGTGGTGAGCCGTGGTAAATTGAAGAAAGCCTCACCCCCCCCCCCCCCGTTGAGAGTTCATGCCAACGTTTTTGGTGTCCGCTTTGAAGCCTTCAGGCTGGAAATCCTCCTGGATTGTACGCGAGTTTCTCCGGGGGAATTGAGCTCAGCGCAGGGAAGAATCTCAGCTCAGCAGGGCCCCTGCAGAATGCGTTAGCTAGTCCTTGTTTGGGTTGCGTCTGAGGGCTCTGGTTAGGGGATTTGCGCTTCATACGGGCGGGCGGTGTATGTTTTCGCCGCTTAGGGATCTAGCTCTAAAGCCACTTCTGAATCGGGTTCATTCCGGTTGAGCCATTTTCTGGTGGTCATGAGCGTTCAGGATGAACGTACAAAAGTTTTAACTTTGAAGGTCCTGTTTTTAAAAGGAGGAAACCCTTTTGCTTTTGTGTTTTAGTGTGTAGACACACAAGGAGATGTCCTAGTACCTTCCAAAGATTTTTCTTCATTTCTAGTTTCCCCTGAAACGGGCTGGGAAAGTCCTTAGCATTTTGGTTCTTTGCACTTGCTGGTAGCATGTGTGAAAAGGCCAAGGCCTCCTCCTGTTTTTTCTGTGACACGCTGCCTTGCGGGGGCTTTCTTGACGTGATTTTAATGTGTCGGAGTCGCCAGAACCTTCTTCCTGAGGCTGTGCTGGGGCTCGGTGGAGAACTTTGAAGCAGTGGTTCCATGCAGCGTTCTGGCATTCAGGAAGTGGACCGGAAATCTGTGAAACTCTGGAATTGGATGGTTTGAGGATGCCTCAAATGAGCTCGTCATCGTCTCCCAAGAAAGAGAGCCGACCCCAGCGCTGGATGTAAGAGTCGTTTGAAGGAGTGTTTCCGGTCACCTTGAGCCGCCAGGGCAACTTGAGGAAGGATGTCTGGGAAGGGGACGCAGAAGCTGGTGGCGGCCCAGGCTGCGCCCGTCCCCATCCCGACGCTGACCGTCCTGCCCCCCTCTTCCGACACCGAGGCCTGGTCATCGCGGTCTCCCAGCCCCCGGCCCAGGAGGCCGCGCAAGGGAAGGCAGGCCACCGCGGAGACCAACCTCCTCCAGCTGCCGGGCGCCGGCGACGTCCTCGCCCACTCCAGCGACGAGGAGGCGCCCTCCTGGTCGCGCTGCTCCACCCCCAGCGCCTCCCCGCGCCGTCGGCGGTTCCTCCTCCAGAAATGGCTCCACCGGGACCGGCCGGACCGGGCTGAGGGAGCAGGAGTCAGCGACGAGTGCAGGTTGGTGGCTGACTGTGCCGCTCTCTCCATCCCCTTACCCCCCCCGTCCCGCCTCGCCTCTCCCCTCTGCATCACATGGGCCAGTAGGTTATGGTTATGGAGCTCGGGACCCGATGGATAGGATTTGGTTTCCCGTTACGTCATTGCCGACCCACCTGTCTCCTCCCTTTCACAGACAGGAAGTAACCTTGCAAACGCCATGCGTGCATTTTGTTGGTGGGGGGGAGGGGGGGGCTGGGCTCTTTAGTCATGGCCAGCCTTGGTAGCCTGGCTGCGACTTCAAAACGGGCTCAGCACCTCCAGTCTGTGGGACGAGAGAGCTGGGTTTCCCCTCTCGGTTTTCCAGCGACCACTGCTGGTGCTCATGCCTTGGAGTCAATTGATGGTAAGCGACGCCCGGACTCTCTGGTCTTGTCGAGGGCTGTGAGGCTCGCGTGGGTGCTCGGCGACCATTGGCGCCGCCGTTGGGCACGCTGGAGGAGCATGGGTACGTGGTTCCCAAATGAAGGGCAATGAAATGTTGTCAAGACCAGCGGATAGAACACAAAGCCCCATTAAGCAAGGTGTCCTGCAACTACGGCAAACATCAAAGCACCCAAAAGAGGAGACGCACATCAGTGTCTTGTAGATCTGACTTGCTGCCGTGTCCGTCGGCTATTTTATCGGACTACGAATACTGTTATTAAAAGAATGCTGCCGCATGTGTTTTACAGCAGTTGTCCCCGACGTTGTGTTTTAAATAGGCTTACATGACACTGATTTGTGTCCCTTTGTGTGACCTTGAGCACATCGACACAAGAAGGGCTGAAGATATATTTCACATTCTGGATTGGAAGTCCAGACCTGAAGCACGTAGAAATGTTACGGAAGGACCTGAAGTGAGCTGTCCTGCAAGGAAACCCTCAAATTTCCCCAACCTGAAGGAGGTCTATGAGCTAGAAAGGGTCCAAATTTGTAAAAGCTGATGCAAGAGACTCATTAATAGTTACAGGAAACCTAGTTCAAGTCCATGTTTCTCAAGGTGGTGCTACTGGATGTTGGCTTTAAGGGTTCATACATCTTCATGTGTAGATATTACTGTTGAATCTTCTTGTTAATGCAATTATCCAAATCTTGTAGGTAAATTAAATCAGGTTGGTTTTTTTTGTTTTTTTATTAAGAGTTTCATGAAGATTTATTTACATTTTAGGTCTGAAATGACCCAGAATAAGGAGCAGTCCTCGGCCAAACCTTTTGTCAGCACTGCATACCTAAGCAGCAAAATGACCGAAAGGTGTTGGCTTAGATATATTGCTTGTCTTAGGACAAAAAAAGACAAGTTTTGTTAGACTGTTGAGACGATGCAAAATCAAAAAGCCCTCGCGTTCGTCTGTGGGGTTTGAAATTCCAGATTAAGGACCGCTGTACATCCATGTATTCTTAAAGAGGCCTTGAAGACAATTTAATCTTAAGGGTTTTCTGACTGAAGAGACCAGAACAGAGACACTGAAAGGGTTAATTGTGTCTGGGTGAGAGAGGAGAGGGGGTGTGTCTCTTATCTTGGTTTTCCAAAGGATGTTGTCATCGGCAGCCAATCAGAGCAGCCTCTTCTGCTGAAGATGTCATCAATAGCCAATCAGGACTGGGGGCTTTGCCGCAGCCCCCCTCCTCTTGTTTCTGCCCCCTGATGCAGAGCAGGCTGTGTTTGGCGCAACTCAACCGGCTGATTGTGTACCCTTTCCTCTCAAGGTTTGGATTTGGCATTGGAATTAGAAATAACAAGCATTTTACAAATGTCCTGGGAGGGACAGAAACTACACTGTATTGAGGACAGTAGACAGTAGTATATTACTTTAAAGCAGATGTCTCCAGCTCTATTTCTGGTGTCTTCTGGCTTCTGTTCCACTTGACTTCTGCTATATTAATGACCTGCGCAATTGTGATAATTCTGTGCAGGCCATGGGGAGTTTCATATGGAACTGTACCTTTTAATCAGTTGAAGATTTTGAATAATCAACAGACTTATGGTATATACAGGATTTCCTTATCTAAGAAATCAGTTTATGAATTGCCTACTCCGTTTGAACCACAAGCCAGAAGACACCAGGCCATCCAGAAACTGAGTTTGAGACTCCTGCCCTAGAATCTAGAATTAGAATACATCTATTAGGAAGTGTTGTGCAGCACAGATATCCAATCAACCTCTAGACACAAATTGGAATGTGGAACAGACCCGTATACGAATAGTTCAGAATCCCCCCACCAGATCACGGTTTCCTAAAGTTTTTCAAATGATCCAACAAGGAAAGGGTCTTAGGGCAGAGGTTACTCATATATGATACTGAAGTTATTTTTAAGATCTGAGTAAAGGAAATGAATAATTTTACAGGGGATTTTAAAGGAAAGCTACTGTATAATCTAGATTTCATGGCCTGAAAAAAGTACAAAACTGGGTACATTTTAAAACTGGTTTAATTCATAAGTTACCCTTAAACCACCTGTTGAAACTTTTGTCTTGAACTTGAACCTTGTTTCATGTTGAAGGTTAAATTGGGGGTACTGCAGGTGTGTACCTCAATGTCGGCGAAAGACTGGTGTACTTGAGTTGGGGCTGATGCCACCTTAATCTAGAAAGATCTCATGCCAGTCTAAGGGGGTTCTGTTCAGTTCCTGGGTGGGTGGACTATGGGGAAACCAGGTGGCTACTGTAAGGAATGTTGATTTGACCAGCAGGTGGCGCTCTTCCCCCTGAACCAGCATGTCCAAACCATTTCCTCAGCGTGGTGCTGTAAGTAAGTGTTAAGATGAGGTCCTGATGAACTGGCTGCTTAAAACATCGCTGCTCGTCAGTGTTGGGTAATCCCACGGACTACTGAGGCAGGGCAGCCCAGGATGGAATCATCGATGTCTGGGTCTCACTTGGTGAGTGGTTCATTGCCTTGGGGATGAGATGTTTTGGGTGGTCAAAATGATGAAGGTGTTTTGCACTTCAACCAAAGCCTTTTCTAGGTCAGTTTTCAACAACCAAAGAACCAAAACTACAAGAAATGAATGGGTGGAATCAAGCCAGGATTAGTTTAGTTAAGGTTAATGAATCGAGAGCTCTTGTAGAGCAGAAGTTGGACGAGTGTATGTAGTAGCAGGAACCGGCTGTCCAAAGCCCTAATGTAAAAGCTACTCGAGACCTATTATCTCGGCTTACCCTGCTCGACAGGGTGCCGGGTGTTGATCCGATTCTCTGCAAGGAGGGTACGGATGGAATCCCGACCAAAACAAACGGGAACCAGACGAGTCTTGCTCATACTTGGCTTCAAGAATTTCCATCTGACCAAGAAGCAAGATTTGTTTCATTGTCAGAGGGCGCGTGCCAAGTCAGAAATGAGAGCACACAGATTATCATTCCTCCGCCACAGCATTAGGCTATTGGACCGCTGAAGCTTGGGTCGGCCCCATGATGCCCCAGCCGTCTTCGTCGTGTGTCAATACTAGATCGCTGCAAGCTGGAGAGATGCAGAATCTCTCTTCCCAGACTCGGCGTTCCCCCAGCCCACTCTTGTAATCTGCAAAGCAACTGCACTCCAGTCTAATTTTGACAGCCCTGCCCACCCCCACTCCCTGTCGTCCATCAGCGGATTATTTGGGAATGCACACAGCGGCTGTAAGGAGATTACATTTCATGTTTAGTGGGGGATCAGATGTGTTTTTGGATTATTGCGGCTGGTAATCCTTGGAACGGCTTTTT